TTAGTTTACTGCTATTGCTTTCTCCATACCTTATACATGTTCCTATGACTATGAGATTATGCAACTCCTGAATACCAGAGGAACACTTAGTGTGCTATCAAATGTCACAATATAACTGGGTGACTATAAAATGCTCTATGGGTGTCTCCGATGGTGTTTGTTGAGTTGGCATAGATCGAGATTAGGATTTGTCACTCCGTGTATCGGAGAGGTATCTCTGGGCCCTCTCGGTAATGCACATCACTATAAGCCTTGCAGGAAATGTGACTAATGATTTAGTTATGGGATGTTGCATTACGGAACAAGTAAAGAGACTTGTCGATAACGAGATTGAACTAGGTATTGAGATACCGAAGATCGAATCTCGGGCAAGTAACATACCGATGACAAAGGGAACAACGTATATTGTTATGCGGTTTGACCGATAAAGATCTTCGTAGAATATGTAGGAACCAATATGAGCATCTAGGTTCCGCTATTGGTTATTGACTGGAGATGAGTCTCGGTCATGTCTACATAGTTCTCGAACCCGTATGGTCCGCACGCTTAACGTTCGGTGAAGATTGGTATTATGAGTTTATGTATTTTGATGTATCGAAGGTAGTTCGGAGTCCCAGATGTGATCACGGACATGGCGAGGAGTCTCGAAATGGTCGAGACATGAAGATTTATATATTGGAAGGTTATGTTTGGACAACAGAATGGTTTCGTATGAATTTGGGCATATACCGAAGTACCGGGGGCTTACCGGAACCCCCCGGGGAGTTAATGGGCCTTGATGGGCCATGAGGAAGAGAGGAGGAGGCGGCCAAGTGGTGGGGCGCCCCCCCCCCAAGGCCCAACCCGAATTGGGGAGGGGGTCGGGCCCCCCTTTCCTTCCTCTCCCTCTCCCCTTTCTTCCCCCTCCTAGTTGGACTAGGAAAGGTGGGAAACCTACTCCTAGTAGGAGTAGGAATCCCCCCTTGGGGAGCGCCATAGAGGCCGGCCCTCACCCTCCTCCACTCCTTTATATACGAGGGAGGGGGCACCCCATAGACACACAAGTTGATTGTTTTAGCCGTGTGCGGTGCCCCCCTCCACAGATTTCCACCTCGGTCATATCGTTGAAGAGCTTAGGCGAAGCCCTGCGTTGGTAACTTCATCATCACCGTCATCACGCCGTCGTGCTGACGGAACTCTCTCTCGACCTCAGCTGGATGTAGAGTTCATGGGACGTCATCAAGCTGAACGTGTGCAGCTCGCGGAGGTGCCGTACCTTCGGTGCTAGGATTGGTCGATCGTGAAGACGTACGACTACATCAACCGCATTGACATAACGCTTCCGCTTACGGTCTATGAGGGTACGTGGACAACACTCTCCCCTCTCGTTGCTATGCATCACCTAGATGGGTCTTGCATGTGCGTAGGAATTTTTTTAAAATTACTATGTTCCCCAACATCTTGGATGTGATGCCTATATACATGATCATTGCCTTGGATATCGTCATAATTATTTTCTCTTCTATCAATTGCCCAACATTAATTGTTTACACACCGTATTCTATTTTCTTGAGATAAGCCACTAGTGAAATCTACGGCCCGCAGGTCTATTTTCTATCATATTGTTTTCAGATCTATTATTGCAAAAAACCAAAAATACCTTGCTGCACTTTTTGTTTATTTATTTTAGTTTGTGTTTTTGTCAGATCTATTTATCAAATCTCATACAATTTAATATATCTCAATACCGAGGAGTGATTGACAACCCCTCTTACGCGTTGGGTTGCAAGTATTAGTTATTTGTGTGCAGGTGATGTTTACATAGTATTGATTGGTTCACCTACTGGATCGATAACCTTGGTTTCATAACTGAGGGAAATACTTACCATTGTTGTGTTGCATCATCCTCTCCTATTCAGGGAAATACCAACACAGATACAAGAAATCAAGCACCTTCAAATCTGTGTTGAATTCATGTGCTTGAGAGCACCAAGCACAGTTGGGAACGACCGCAGAATAGAGCATCTCCCGCCTTCGCCCACTCGCATGCCATAAGCTCGAGGGAGTGGTTGGGTGCCCACAATCTGGGTTGCCAGGGATGAGTCGATGAAGGAGTTCATGCTGCCGGAGGGGGCCAGCATGAGCACTTCCCGGCCTTGAATCTAGGCCTGGAGTTGAAATGCCTTGGAGGAGATGCCCCTCGAGACAGCCGACCTGAAGGTGGCCATAATTGTGTCATCGGGCGGTGGCAGCTGCATGTCGATGACGTTGTCGATACCAAAGAGGGCGAGGAGCTCCTCGACGACATGCGACTGGACATAGGTGGGACACACATGATTGTTCCCCCACCGCTCGCCGCACTTGAAGCACAGATCGCGGCCACGATGATAGTCCCGCAGCATCTTCAACTTCGTCGAGTTCGCGCGCGCGCTGTCCATGCCACGGCAGTCAGTGGCGCCAGTAGCAGCAATTGGACGAGGTGGAGGCGGTGGTAGCGGGAGCGGTGCAGCCGTATGTTGCGTTGGCTCAGGTGGCCATGGAAGAGCCCCAAACGTGCCATCCGCCACCTTCTCTTGCAGCAGAGCAAGCACGTACGATGTATCCAAGTTGGGTGGTCGTTGAACAAGCACCACCGCTTGGATATCCGTCCTCAGTCCCTCCACAAATCGGGTAAAAAACAGTAAGGATGAATGGAATCAAAGTACGAGCTCAAATTATTAGTGATTAACTTGAATTTCTCAATATAATCTGCTATTGATATCATTTGGCAAACAATATAGAACTATCCGATTAGAATTTGATGTCGATCGCGGCCAAAACATGTGCATAACATAGAAGTGAATGAATCCCAATCAAATTATGACAACCGCTTCTGGATCGTTTGCAACCAAATAGAAGTCGTACCAAAAAATTGAGCACTGCCATCGGAACCCAAAAGGTGGACTGAATCCCAAACATAGAAAAATATTGCTCACACAATGTTTTCCAAAAATTGGGATTCTCTCCCATAAACTGGGGAAATGAGATATATTGATGTGCTTGACCCAGACCGACGAGCATCTGGCTCGTGTGAGCAAATGAGGATATAGATGCAGGGGAGAGAAGAGAGTCGGACTGACCGCTTGCTGGGAGCGGCGGCGGCAGCTGGAATGATGCTACTGACGACCCCCATGGTAATTGAAGTTGTCGTGGCCTATGGGCCCTTGGGGATGGATCGTCGCGCCCTGCACGGGGTCCAGTGTGGACTCTGCGCGTCGCACGCGGTGGTTGTGGCTGATCATGAGCCGTTAGAGCCGCGTCGCCTTCCTTGGACAGCGGAGGGTGCGCCAGTTCAGCACTGCCACTGCGTCACCGAGATCCGCCACTCGACACTCCAGATCGGGACGTTAAGCGAGTAGCTCGTCGATCTTGGCGTCCGTGATTTGCTGGGACTTGGTCTGCGCGTCCATCGTGGCCTCGATCTTGGCCTCAAGCTTGGTGAGGAAGGTAGAAACACCGGGATCCATGGCTTCCAGTTGTGCTCTGGCCTGACGCAAACTTCTGGTGTCAACAAGTTTCGTCAACATGAATGGAGAGGGAGGTGGGTGGTCTCTTCTACCAGATGATAGGGACAAGCTCGGAATTCCTATTAACAATGGCAATTTCTCACAGGATCTGATTTAGGTGGGGATTACAAACGAGATTACACGAATCGACCTAGGGTTCTTGCGAAAGGGAAAGGGAAGAGGTGGTCCGTGCCGATGTCGTGCCTGATCCACTGGATGCCCTTCTCACTAGTGGGGATCGGCTAAATAGCGAGTGGGAGTTCCTGGGCCACCACTACTCAGTCCGGTCCGGTTACGTATAGGTTGGGAACGCGTGTACGCTTGGGCCATGCACCCTTGGCCGTCTGGGCCCTTGCAGGTAGGTCCGCCGAGTCAGCGAGGCTGGCAGTATTAGTATTGGTACATATAGGACCATATTCTTGTTTTTTTGTGCGAAAAAATATAGTGCTAGATTCGATGCCAGCCCGCACACCCTAGAAGTCATCTCGTGATTAACATGTGAAATGTGGTGTGCGGCAGTCGTTGGTGGATCTAAGGTTTCCCAATCGAGGCAGCGTGGCGGCACCGCCCTTGTGGTTGGTTTTGTGCTCTAGTAGTCGGCGATGCGTGCTCATGTGCCGCTGCGGAGCCTTGGAGATTTTAGAGGAGCATTGCGCCAGTGGTGTTGCATCTGCAGATACTCGTGAGTGGTTATCTCCCCGCCAGATTTTTCTTCTCTCCCGTCACCGGCTAGAGAGGTGATGCTTTCAAACCGGTAGTTCTCCAATCCAATGCTTCTCTGGCGTCTTGATTCGTATGGACCAAAGTTGTCGACTTCCCGTATCCTACCTCGAGATAACAAGGTCACGCCGGCTCCACGTAAGAGTGGCGGCGGCGACGCGCTTGCGGCTCGCGCCGGTGGATGTGTTGGGTTGGCTCCTCAGGGACCTGGGTGTAATTTTCAACATGTGGTGTGTGTGTTGTTTATCACCGGTTATCCTTATTTTTTGAGCTGGGGTGTTTTCCGCAAAAAAAACAAAAATAACCTCAAAACAGACAATGTAGAAAAAAGACATGACGAGCTCGATTTGAAACACTCAAACGAGAAAAAAAAAATTAACACAGTATAGACGCACGCGCTCATATACACGTGCATGCACTCATCCCTACGAACGTACACACGCAAATCCTATCTCTATGAGCACTTCGAAAGACTGAGTCAGCATATCATCTTAAAATTTACGAAGTCATCATAGGCATCTCGTCAGCGACGAGAATGTCTCCTCCCACTGGATGCGCATCGTCGAAAATTCTGAAAAAATTCTAGAAATATGCGAGCACTAGGACTTAAACCCTGATGGGCTAGTGATACCACAGTCTCTCTAACCATCAAATCACAATTTGGTTCCCACTCAAACGAGAATCTATTGTGTAATTCTTGTGTGTTCTTACGTAGCTCCATATGAATCTACTGAGACTGAGACAAAACAAAACGTGTTAAGCTAGCCTGCACGCTGATGCGCCGGGTTGCCCGTCAACCAAAACGTCGCACGTGAAGGACTGCCAGGCCAGGCCCATGTCGATCTCCAGCTGGGCCACCCCCCATCTCCGCTCCGCCGTCATGAGGCGAGACAAATCCGCCGGGATCCCCAGCCCCACGCCCGTCACGTTCACCGCCCACCGCCCCGTAGTCTTTGCCGGCAGCCGGAAGCTCGGCGTGCGCCCGCGCGCGAGGGGTACGCCCGCGTAGGAGACGACGACGTCGCCGCCGCCATGGCACAGCTCATAGACGCGGCCGTTGTCGACGTGCACGACGAGGTCGAATGCCGGCGAGGTCGCGCCCGGAGCCAGCGCTGGCTCGAGCCCCCTGGCGCCGGCTAGCTCCACGGAGCACGTGGTGGGCTTGTCGTCGTTGGATGGCGGCGAGCCGTCGAGCTCCCGGATCCCGGGCAAGGAATCCATGGGCGGCAGGTACACCATGACCAGCCAGAAGGACGTGTACAGGAGCAGAGCTATCGTCCAGGACCCGCAGCCGCAGTCCTCGTCAGATCCGTCTTCCCGAGGAGCACCGCCTCCATGGTCCTTGGATGCCATCGGAAGCACGTCGGCGTACCACCGTCACGTTCTATGTATCTCTTCAGTTTTTTCGCTCAAAAGGAAATCTGTTACGTACACGTTTTGTTTTTCCTGCGAGGAGGATCCAGGTGGGGCGCTATTCCGTTACGTGCTCGAGTCTAAGGCTAACTCCAACGCACAACGCATCGATCGTACCTAATCTGGTCCGCGTGTGTCCGTTACGAGCCAAACGGTCCAAACGGACAGACACTCGTCCGCATCCCTAAATTTTATCTGTTTCGCGTTCGGCCCGTTGCATTTCAGGAGCAAACTTGCTCCTGATTGCCCGTTGCATTTCAGGAGCAAACTTGCTCCTGATTTACATTTAGACAGACAGCGAACGGACAGGAACGCGCCCGTTTCTTGTCAGTTTTAGGGACATATGGCAGCTGGGCACCTAAATCTCACAGTTCAAAAAAAATGCGTATGTGCGGGCAGCCCCCGCTTGTCAGAGTCCTAACCATGTGGGGCATCATTCTTTTTAATGTGGAAGCCGTGGACCGGCCAGTCTACGCTTCCACTCCCGGCGATCCCTACCTTCTCGATACTCGACACGAGCAAACCCTAGCCATCGGTTGTCGTAGATCTACCCTCTCTCCTACACCCCGTCCTTACCATCGGCAATGGGGTGGCACTGGATCCCTGGCCGCAAGGAGAAGCACGACCATGAGGCTGGGTCCTCCTTAGGCCGCCGTCGCAGCCACTCCACCCCCTCCTCCTCCGCCACCCTTCTTCATCGCCCCGCCAGCGGCCAACACTCGAAACCGGCCGTACGTGAAGGCCAACACCTGCAAGCGCTACTGGGAGACGGGGACGCCACTGTCGTGGAGCAACGTCCACCTCCCTAACAACTGGCACTTGTTGGTGGACTGCATGCCCATCCCGCCGGTCCCGGTCGGCGGTAGAGCCCGTCGCGACGAGATCCAGCTCCGTCGCGCCGACCTGCCCCCACGACCTCCTCGGCGACGCTAGGTACACGTTCGACTCGCCCCTGCAGGACACCTGGTTCCGCGACAAGCACGACCTACGACGGGCGTCGTACTTCGTCGGTCGTGGTCCGAGCGTGCCACGGCCGCGGGCTCACCCCGATGTTGTCCCCGTCCCCGCCACCGCCATCGCCACCTCCCATGACCGCCGAGGAGGAGGAGGAGCTCGTGTGGCGGGTTATGGAGGAGTCCGTCCACGACCACAACGAGGCCCAATGGCACGGCTCGAGCTGATGATGGCCCTCTCCATCGCTGGCGACGTCGCCCTCCCCCCGGAGCTGCAGGAGGCCGCCATCATCAAGAAGGAGGTGGTGGTGGTCAAGGAGGAGGAGACCATTGTCGTCGGGCTGCACTTCGTGGCAATGGTGGGGGCGTGCGTGGTCCTGGATGGACACGATGTTGTGCACACTGGAGTTCGTCTCCGTGCCGCCCTCGTCGGCGGGTGCCGAGGCGTGGTCGCCATCCCCGCCACGGGAAGAGGTTGTGCAGGCGCCTCCGGCCATGCAGCCACCGGAGGGGCCGCCTGCCCACCTCTGGCAGCCGCCGCCATACATCGGCCTCATTGGGGACGACGACGAGAAAGACGGCGGCGCCTGAAGACGGCGAGGAGATCGACGATGGCCACAACGACGGTGGTGTCTAGTTTATTTTTTCAGTTTTTAAGTTTTTAAGTTAAGTTTAATATGCGGGCGGGGGCTTATTTAAATGGTTTAAATAGTTTAGAACTGTAGTTAAGTTTATTTCTATGTTTTTAAATGTGTGGCCGGTCTTTTTTTCATTCTTGGGCTGGACAAAATGCGACGCGGCGCGCATTGGTTGCACTGACCGGCGGATGGGCCAAATCGAACGTGTCATCATTTTATCGTCACAAACGGATGAAATTCAGACAAAGCAGACGTCTGTTTTGGATCGTGCGTCGGAGTTGGTCTAACCGATACATGATGGTCGGCCAGATTTTGAAAGATTTGTGTGTGCTACCGACACTATTACCTCCATGACTCTTCTGGCCCCAAATTAGGAGGCGCTTAACATGACTGACGCACATTCACATTGCCACGGCCAGACGCTTGCATACGGACAAGATTGGCCAACAAAGAAAAACATGGAAACCTTTCTGAATAGATTGGGCAGGCAAGAATAGAAAAGGATGATGTGGCTTCATCTTCTCTATGTTCCATGTTTAGCCCTCGTTTGATTTACATAAATTTTGTATGAATTAGAGGATACCCCACGCGTTGCAGCAGGAAATGCAGCAATGATTTAGAGAGATGTGAAAAAATAGAAATTGGTCATATGTGATATTTATTAGATTGACACATCTCAGCGTAGGAAAGTAAACAATGATCCATCTTCTCAATTCCAGCTCATCAAACTACTGATAAAGCTGATGTGAACAATGTGCATAGTAAGAAAATAGGTAGTAATGGGGATCAACTTCTTAAGAATGTAAAGTTACAGCATGCAACTACAGCTCATTCAGGAGCTATGAAGAATATGTCGTTGTGGCTTACAGTGAGGATGGTAGTAGAAGAACACATACCACTGACTTACAATAAGAGAATAAAGAAGGGAGCAACATCGTAATTAACCAAGTATAATGAAGGGAAACCAACCGATAATTATTCACACAACCCTTACCTAACTACTGACCTACAAATCCAAAAGGCATCCTAGAGGATTCATAAAAAAGGACCAATCAATTGATAAAGAAAAGAATACTCTAAATAATACAAAGTAAAAAAAATGAATGCTTTAGAAAATTATGGTATATAAAATATAGCTCTGATGGTATAAAGGCCATAGTAAAAATCTGAATATCCAACACATACGGCCAAGACTTTGAGAGAATAACCGCACAAAATGGAGCTAAAAGCGGCAGATGGTTTGCATGATCCTTGAAACGTGAGCAATTTGTCACCCCTAGTCCCAATACCATTCCTGCACGAAGTAGGTTAAGCAATTTGACACCGTTAGTCCTAATGCCATCCCTGCATGAAGTAGGTTAAGCAAGAAAAGGCTCCTGGAAAGAACAGAGCGAGCAGATACAGTAAAACTGCATTGCTATACAACAACATGACTTATTGCACATCTAAATATAATAAAACTGACAAATAGAAATGAGTCAGTATATCTGGATATATAGCTTTGTCTACCCATTTGCTTTGCGGAAGGAGCAGAGAGGTACCGAACGGCCTCTAAGTGTGCCATCAACCATTTGCTTGTTGAGTTTTATTGAAGTCCAGCCCTAAATGGTAGATGCTAGAATAAGAGAGACAAAATAGTAGTGTATGCTTTAGGGCTTCCTGAAAACACTGATACGTGCAACGTTGGGTACATCCATATTGGATACGGTATATCTAAACATGTCTCGGAAGAATTAACATTTTAAGAATAAAGGAAAAAGGAATCTGGATACATGTTGGAGATATGTCTTGGATCCCTACTGGATATGTCCTAGCTTAATCCTTTGTCCCGAGTCTTTTGCTCCTTCTGAAAAATGATAACAGAAAAACTATCATGATGTATCAAAAGCATAACAGCTGGAGCACCCCCACCATCCCTCGCGTAGGCATGCCCATCCTCCTTCCAAGCACTAGTCGGGTCACTTGCGCTCGGCGTCTCCCATCCATGCGTAGGCGTACCTAGCGCCGGCGTGGACGTCATGGAGGCTGCAGCATGCACCGTATAGAAAAGCGCTCGACGACTCCGTCGGCACCACCACAAGGGCACCTTTCTTGGGAGCACGCCGGCCGCGAGATGGAAGATCTCGACCAGGTCCACGACTTGCCGATGGAGTAGTGCTGGCCGGAGACATGACCGGGCAGAAGGACGCGGGTTGTCGTGTTCGAGGCGGCGGTGTCGCTCGGAATTGCGTTAAACTGCAGATCTGAACAAATCAGTGGCAAAGACAACCAAGTATTATGGCAACCGTCAGCAGGTTTCCGACGACGATGTCCCTTGAGAAGATGAGACGATTTCCCTTGGCCGGTGGCGGCGCTGTATGGCGAGAGAGAGAGATAGAGGGAAGATGAGAAGAATCAATGGGATTTTTTAGGAACCGGTGGATATTTATTCTATCAGAGAAATGAAGGAACCTTCCCATCATAATCAAAGCAGTTTCCTTGATCTTCTCCTGTGTTAATAGTATTTGTGATCGATGATCCCATATTGAAGTCTAACCATGAGACCACTGCATGCGTGTATTGATTGTCATTGGCATGCCTACCGATGGAGGTTTGACATGCCTACCGATGGAGGTTTGCATGCAGAGTCTAGCGAGACGTCTTTGTTTCTTTTTCAGCATACGTAGGAGGAATAAGACTCATTGGCTGTTGATTAAACTGAATGATGATGTGGCATAAAGTTGATGTGGACAGTGTGCATGGTAAGGCTGGTTGTAATTGTTAGAATAAACCCGAGGCATACCATCGATTATTCGAGGACCAAGCAATCACACGAGCACGACACCGATATTTGTTAACGAGGTTCATTGATATGGCTACATCCCCGGGGCTTGACTACGGGCGCTCCTCCCCGTGACACCGTCACAATACCGCACCCGGTCGCCCTGGACGCCGGCACACGCTGCCGGCTTCCTCTGCTTTCCGGTGCTATTATGTTGGCATAGGTTACATCGTGTGTCTACCCCCGCTATATATGAGAGGCCTAGGATACAAGTGTCCTATTAGGACACGACTCCACATCCTATGTAAACACAATACAACTCCTAGTCCAACTGTAATCTACCTTGTACACAATATTCGACACAACTCTAACAAATTCCACCTTGGCAAATATTCTCCACCACCTTGAATTCGTTAATGCGTCAAACTTCCATGTACATTGGACCTGAGCTTATCTCATGAGAACCGCTGCTACTCCAAATACTTCATGTGACTCCACCTGCAACTTGTAATTCTTTCTTTTCTTGACCACAGTCAACACTCGAGCAAAATTAAGTTTCTCTTTACTCTAGTGTATGCTCCCAACTTC